AATATCTTAGAACACAAGTGAACGGAATCAAAGCAAAGACAAGACCCTACTTTGAGCTCAGATTGACACGCCTACTGGAAAGGCCGTAAGTTGCTGAAGATGGCTCAGAATGTACGTGGAGACAGTTTCAGAGACCTAAGTATAATGATGAAATTGAGACTATGAGGAAATGTTGTATTACCAAGAGAGAGAAAAAAAAATGCTTTTCAGAAAATGATTTTGAGTTCCTGGTTTTGCTTTCAGTGTCCGGAATGACCAGGGGGTGAAAAGATACAAAAGGAAAACTTACACCAAGTTCAGGCACAAAAGAGAATTGCAAATAGAAGAAAGCCGTTTACACTTCACAGTGAACTGGGCCTGCTACAGGCTGGAAGCGCACTTTGTGGAAACTGAGAGATGGTTGAATAGTCTGTTCAAGGTTATGGACATAAACACCAAGGGTGTCTGTAACTTCCTGGCTGCTCACTATAATTTCCCTTAAGGAATTATGAAAAATATATACCAATGGCGGAATATAAAAATATTTTCTTTTTGAAATAAAGGCAGCTTATAAAATATGAAAATAAATAGTTTTCTTGCTGTATACGTGACTATCAAAGTAGCTGTCACCTACTTCTGCCAACAGTTGCCTCTGTATTGCAGGTGCAGTCTGGTCAGCATTGCCTTGAATTTGTTTTTAATGAGAATGGAATTCTAAGAAGAATAGATTTTACTGAATTTGTTGCATTCTTTAGCAGAAAAGAGGAGTCTTAAATGAGCATGCTCTAACCACTCTCCCGTCATCAATATTCAGAAGCCTGAGGAATTTTCTTTGACTTTCCCGAGAGAAGTAATTTCTAGTACTTTTAAACTCCAAGGTAATTCTGTGTTTTTCCCTTGAAGAATAGATGTATGGAAATATGAATTTAAAAAATGCTGTAAGGGTAAAATATTTCACTTCCAAGTTAGCATTTTTTTTCATCTTTAAAATCCTGAAGACATGAAATAGATTATCATCCTCAGGTTTAGAGTCTATTCTTTCATTGTTGACTATGCAGTTAAGCCAACATTTTAAATGAATTATGTGGCCTACCCTTGTTACACATTAAGACAATTTGTTTTCTCCACTTAATGTAATCTGAGTCAAAAAAGGAAGAATGTTTCAAGGAGAATCAATAAGTGACTCAGAAACAAGATCACAGCATCCCCTGAGTTTGTCTCCCCTAGTCTTTCACAGTAAGATACAAGAATAGCAGTATGCAAATGGGTTGGAATAAGTGAACTAATAATTTCCAGAACCTTCTATTTTGATCATAAATCATCTAACCCCTATTCATCTTATTTAATGAGAAATTCTTATCAAGAAAACTAAGACATTTTCTCAAGTCACACAGATCTCGCAAATGGAATGTTTGATATTTTTCGATGAGATATGATTCTGTGTGTGCAGGTTTCAAAAGGTTCAGAGAGCTCCTAATGATCCAGATAAAATTTTCCCTAGAAACAGAAAGTCAAAACTCAGCTTTTATGGCTTTTGTATAATATGTTATTACTTTGTATTTAGTTGTCTAAAAGAAGTCCTGGTTGTAAAAAGAGAGTCTGCAAGAAACTATTGCATTATCTTCAAGATGAGATTTAAATAAATGAAGCAGAGAGTCTGTGTGTGCATATTTGGGAAAAAGTGATACCAAATACTGTAGAATATTGTAGCTTGTGTGAATAGCCACATCTCTACATACTTATTATGTAAGTATTGCAAAACAGTGAACTCAAGTACTGTAGAAGATTCTAGTTCATGTGTACAGCCACCCTTCTATGTAGTAATTATGTAAGTATTGTAGAAAAGTGATCTCAAGTACTGTAGGAGGCTCTAGCTGGTACAGATAGCCACACCTCTACTTAGTAATTATGTAAATATTGAAGAAAAGTGATATCACAGACTGCAGAAGGTTCTTGTTGGTGTGAACAGTCAAGTACTATAAAAATTTCTAGTTGGTGTGAATAGCCAAGAACTGTAGAAGATTTGAGTTGGTGCGGCTAAGTATTATAGAAGTTTCTAGTTGGTGTGTAGAAGATTCCAGTTGGTGTAAATATCTAAGTACTGTAGACTGTTCCAGTTGATGTGAATAGTCATATACTTTAGAAGGTTCTAGTTTGTGTGAATAGCCACACCTCTACATGGTAATTGTGTAAGTATTGCAGAAATTTAAGCTGTAGTAGTAGCAGGAATGCCAAGGAGTCCGGTGGTTGTTCTAACAATAAATCAAAAGAATGTATTGAAACTAGCAAGAAACAAAAGTTTGGTTACCCTGAAAGGGAGAAAATTCACATTTTTAATAAAGTAGTACTAATGGGTATATGTAGACTATGAGAAATTATGTAAACAGCATGTTTGCCCATTTTCCATCATGCACACTTAGTAGCTAGAGTGCCATCCAGCTAATTTCTCCATTATCTGTTCTGCATCTTCCATTGTCATTTTAACACAGTGCATAAGTGGATACTCACTGTGCTCTTCCATTGTAAGCTAGCTGACTTCTCATAATTTATTCTAAAGTATTTTTCAATTGTTAGTGTTTCATATTCAGCTTTTCACATTCATTGTTTTCTTTTTTCCAGCAATTTTTTTATTTTTTATTTAAAATTTCCACCTCCTCCCATTTCCCTCCCCCTCCCCCCCACTCCCTCTTCTCCTCCCTTTCCAGTCCAAAGAGCAGTCAGGGTTCCCTGCCCTGTGGGAAGTCCAAGGTCCTCCCTGTTCCATCCAGGTCTAGGAAGGTGAGCTTCCAAACAGACTAGGCTCCCACAAAGCCAGTACATGCAGTAGAATCAAAACCCAGTGCCATTGTCCTTGGCTTCTCAGTCCGCCCTCATTGTCAGCCATGTTCAGAGAGTCCAGTTTGATCACATGCTCCATCAGTCCTAGTCCAGCTGACCTTGGTGAGCTCCCATTAGATCAGCCCGCCGTCTCAGTGGGTGGGTGCACCCCTCCGTCCTGACTTCCTTGCTCATGTTCTCCCCCCTTCTGCACCTTATTTGGACCTTGGGAGCTCAGTCCAGTGCTCCAATGTGGGTCTCTGTCTCTATCTCCATTCATCGCCCGGTGAAGGTTCTTATAGAGTAACTAATACATTTGTTTAATGTTGACAACAGTCTATGAACTTTTGCACCAGCAATAATTTCATGGGCAGTTTGCAGGAGGGAGATTTAGTTCCGACACATGTAGATTTTTAAAATGTGTGGGGATTCGGACTGAGGGAAGAAGGGCACAGACATCCAGACTGCTTGCAAGCGTTGTGTGGGGTGCAATATGGAAGGATTGCTGAATTTGCTAGGCATCTCGCAGCCTGCATTATCTGAGCTGACAATGATCAGTGTGTTAACACAGACTGTTATATTTCTATATTTCATTTTCTTTCCTTTTTTTTTTTGTGGTGATCTGAATGAGAACTTCCCACATAGGCTCGTACATTTGATACTTAGCCCCTGGTTGATACATAGCCCCCAGTTGGTGGATCTGTTTGGGAAGGGTTAGGAAGACGTGTGGAATTGTTGGGGGAGATGCATCCCCAGGGGAAGGCTTTGACATCTAAAACACCCATGTGTGTCCCTGCTGTTCTGTCTGACACCTGGCTGTGTATTGAGATGTGAGCTCTCAGCTACTGCTCTAGCACTATGCCTGCCTTCCTGCTGCCATGCCTTCCACCCTGGTCATCACAGACTCACCTTCTGAAACGGTGAGCCCCAAACAAATTCTTTGATCTCTAACTTGCCTTGGTTATGGTATTATATCATGACAATAGAAAAGTAGCTAATGCAGTTTTATATCTGATTAATGAAGGATCAACCACAAGGTCCGTTCCAGCTTTAGAATGGCATGATCTATTATTGGAAAGAATAAAATATACAGATATAATAAACAATTTTGACATTTATTGCATAGGGATTACCTGAATCTCTTTAAATATTGAAATTCACAAAGAGAGACCGAGAAAATTTACTAACCATGAGTTAGCCTGTTGACTGGATTTGGGAGTAGACCAAGAAACAATTACTTTGAAATGTAGTAGTGATTAAATTAGCATCATCTGAGCTGGCTACATGAATGGATGATGATATCAGTAACCTTCAAAAAATAGCAGTTCGATAAAGGGTCTTTTCCTGACTGAACTATGAACCATATTGGACAATGCTGGCTTATCTCTCTAGTCTTTGAACACGCTGTTAGGTCACAGACATGTTAAGTTTACTATATTAAAGAAAACCAATTATTGCATCCTTCAGTCTATTACAGCATGAAGCTATTAACCATTTTATCAGGGAATTGCAAAGTGCGGCTGTGAAACTCTTTACTGGTAGCAAGCTCTTATTATTCTGGCACTTACCGGATATTTACCACTAGCTTGTAAAATCTTCCATCCCAAGTTTCACCGTCACCTCATTAACATTGCATTGCTGGCATGATGTGGCTAAGGAGACAATTTGAGATTGATAATAAATTGTAAAATAGTGACTGTTATCATAGGGAAATCTAATCTGTTGACATCTTTCCATGATGTGAAAGCGCTCTGATTTTTTTTTTTTTTTGTAATGCAGCTCCCCCCTTTTAGCCCCTAATTCTGCTTTAAATATAAAATAGACACAGCAAGACCAGGCTTTCTTTTGGGATGTGTTCGGGATTGCTTGCGAGGTATAGCAGGTAGTTGTTGAAATGATCGTCCCCAGTGAAATGTACCTCCGAAGACTGTGGAGCACAAAGAGAAGCAGCTCAGGTGGCAGATGGTGTTTATAGTGCATTTAAAACCTCAGCATTTTAAAACAGGAAGACTCCAGTCCTCGGCAGCATCCCCAAACCAAACTATTTCCCATTGATTGGTGTGAATCACTCTCCTTCCTTGGCACCTGTGCTTTTCTGCCACCCATGCCCTACTTAAGTACCAACAAATCTGCAGTTGACCTTTTCAGAGCTCTGTGCAGAGATGCCTACCCTGGGTTTCTAATCCTCATCAATTTCTTTCCAGACTGAGCTTTTCGTGCACGCCTTCAAGGATCAGCTGGTCAGGAGCGCTCTTCTAGCCCTCTATACGGCAAGGCCAGGAGGCCTCCTTAAGAAACCACCCTCTCCTAAGGACAGCACAGAGGACACTTGTCCCCTGGATGAGCCCCCTCAGCTGGGAAGACAAGACTCCATACCACACCATTCTGACTATGATGAAGAAGAGTGGGTAAGTCCTCTCATGGCGTCTGCTCTCATGGCTTAGCCCCAAGAAATGTGGTAAACATAATATGAAAACTCACTTCTCATGAAAAGTACACCGAAAACCAGTCTCAACACGGTTGTAGATAGATGCCACACGCTTTTCCTTAGGAGCAAGTCTCATGTGAAAGTTCTATTCCTGAACCAAATTATTTATTTGTTATCAAATAAATCGAGTTTATAACCAAGAACAAGTCTTGAATTCAGTTACCAAAATTACAAAAATCCTATAATACCTCTCCTTGTTCATTTCTAACCTCAAATTATTAAAACTTTTTTAGAAGAAGAGTAAAAAGTCAGCCGGGCAGTGGAAGTGCACACATCTAATTCCAGCACTCAGGAGGCAGAGACAGCTGGATCTCCAAATTTGAGAGCAGCCTGGTCTACAAAGCAAGTTCTAGGAAAGCCAGGACTACATAGAGAAATCCTGTCTTGAACCACCCCATTGCCCTAAAAAGTCATGTCAGCCCTAGTAGAATATAAGTATTTCTACTGTTACTAGGTAAAGATGTACTTACTTGCATTAAAAATAACTTATTCATGTTTAAATGAGACTGAACATGAAGATTTCTTAAATCCCATCATCTGGTAATTCTGCGATTGAATAGATTGCATGGCAGGACTCTGACATTGTAGTTCCCGTGCATGCATGTGCACAATTGCTGGTGAAGATAAATTAACAAAAGAAGCAAAGGTGTGAAAGGAACTCTAGTAGAGAGAAACAGAATGGGAGGAGCCGGAAGGGTGCAGAGGAACAATGTGCTATTAACGAGTCTTTGCATAGTAATGATTTAAGTGCCTCTATGGTTAATGTATATTTATATATGCATGTGTTCACACATGTGTGTGTATGCACACTGGTATCCCTTTGTGGTATCACATGTTCAACAAAAGAAGTGTGCTAGCTGCATTACATGTTACATTTTTAGTTAAAAAATATTTTCTTGCTAGCTAGTGTTTAAGAGCGTTTAGGGTAAGGTGTTTGAGAGGCCCAGGCCCCTAGAACAGTGTTTGAGGGCCCATGAGAGAGCACCTGATCTTTCTTTTGATAAAATTCCGACCACAGGAAGCACACCTACGCACTTTGGGAGGCATGTGCCGAGTAAGAGCTGCTGTTGCTGATGAAGCTTGGATTTCCCACATGACAGCATTTCAGACGAGCAAGCCAGATGTTTCTTCAATTTAGCTTCACCTTCCTCAGTTTATTCACAGCTCCAAGATGTGCATACCTCCTAACCTCTCTGAAGTTCAATTTTCTCCACTCTATAATAAAAACTGTATCTGTCCTGCTTAGCTCTTAGGATGGATATACAATAAATGGTTTATCTGTAGGTGATGCTTTACTGCCTGGACAGGCCTCGACAGATTCTGTGGCGGGAGATTGATATGTACTTTTTGGTTAAAATTTGTGGCTTATAGTCTTATTAGGACAACCAAATCTATCCCTAGAGACTCATAGTTATGATATATATATATATATATATATATATTATATGAAACAAGTCAGATATATATATAAATAAATTAGGCATATACATATGAATATATCAAATATGTATTTATATAAAAATATGGATTGTAAATTTCAAGAAATTATTTCACCTAATTAACCAAACAAGTTTAACCTTTGAAAAATAATTGCTATGCTTACCCTGAATCAGGTAAAAACCTTGAATGGCTATACTTTCTTTTCTCCATTTTCTCCTCCTTCCTGTGGTCCCTGCCACAAAGCCCTACTTCCCCTGCTATTTAACCCGGCCACCTCCTTCTTTTTCCCCTATTTGCTGTTCCCTAGATAGTTTTTGAGGTCTTAAGTCCAGTAGGTTTTGAAATGGGAAGATTAGCCATGTTAGGTCCTCATCCGAAGTTCAGAGTCTTAGGGAAAATAAAACAGATATAAAATGTGGAAACAAAGTTTGGTGTACTGTGGGATAGACTCTGCTAATAGGATTTTAGATGACCCAGTTTGAATTCAGGACTGTCTTGTGAAGTGCCAAGGAGAGACGTCACTGAGTAGGAAGGGTTAGAGAGGGCCTTACTTTTTAGTCAGAATCGACATTCTGCTGCTGCCGGGTTCACACTGGGAGCCCCTGACGACACCCTATGGCTTCTTAGAGCCCACAGCATAGTCAGAAATCTGGAGACAATTGGCTATTGTAAATGCAGCCTTAAAGGTCTATAGAGACTAGTGCAAGGTCAGAGTGGGGATTCAAAAGCCTCTCTGGAGGTGGGCGTGGGAACTGAAAAAGCCATTACAGGAAAGGAACCAAGTGTTTGATGTTTGAGCTCTGTGGAGAGAGGTAGTAGCTATAGGCCCAATACAGAGATAGATCAGATAATTACTAATTTTATTTATTCCGTTTTTTTTTTCAAGTTGTTGAAATTTTGGCTTACCTATAATGGAAATGATCTTTTGGGAAGCTCAGGTGGAGATGGGCAGCACTTGGCCTTCATAGAATAAAAAATTGACCCACTTCTCCTTTGAGGAATCCTAGGAGAAACGTTTCCTTCAGCTGAGACATACAAAGGACTTAAAAGAGCTTTGGCGAGGTGGTCTGGACTAGATGGGTTCCCTTGTCCCTTCCACATAGAGGAGAGCCTTGTGCTGGAGGAGGACCTAGGGAAGACGGGAGAAGGGAAAGGAGAAAGCGTGCGCACTGATTGGGTGCAATTTTAGCAACATTTGGAACAACAGTCAGGGTTTCCGTCCTTGTGGAGGAACCGGCAAATGGTCTGCGCAGTTCTCAGCTTCCCACAGACCGCTCTCTGGGAAAGGCAAAGGCTGACTGATCGTTTCCACAGGCCGTAGAGTGTTTTTCATGTTTCTCTTGGTTTTCATCATGAGCGTGATAGGTCTGCGTGTCTCTGTATATCCTTGCACATCTTCAGAGGTCCCTTCTGAGGTCACTGTTTCTTGAAATCATAGAAATAGTTTGCCTGAGTTGAGCACAGTTAGAAGGAAACACCTGCTCAGTAAATTCCCTCTACTCCAAATATTTTATCTTGGTTTGTAAATCATTATTGTGAAGGTCATATAGCATTTTCACAGATTTTCCTCAGCAATCACTTTCTACTAAAAAGATATCTCTGCCAAGGGTTTTAATCTCAAAACAAAACAAAACAAAAAAACAAAAACAAAAAAACCTCAGCAGTCATAGTAGCCACTTAATATATTATTTTCAAAATGTTCTTCACCTCTTTCCAATGAAATGAACCTGAAGAAGATGCAGGCATTTGAAATGTCTTTAGAGATAGTTCTGGTGCCTGATTTGGATCAGACACTCGCCATATTACTTTCCTTAATTAGCTGTTAGAAAAGTATCAGTATTGATTGCTAATATAGTCAAATTCTGAAAGTAATTCCATGTTTAAAACGAGTGTAACCGGGTTTCAATGACATATGAGGATGCTCTCTGATGACGTAAGTTGGTCTAGATTTGACTGTAAAGCCATACAGGTCCATGTGCTGGAAAGCCTGTTTCTCTTAGCTCTCAGTCATTCACCGTGACAACAGCTTAGCTTGAAGCCTACATTTCTTACGATGAACACATGGGAAGTCAACACATCTTAGTAATTCCCCTTGAGTCCATTTTTATGCATCTAACAACTTTTGCTTTGAGGTCATGAAAGAGGAGCTCTGTTAAGCCCACATCTTTCTGAGGCTCCGTTGAGAAAAGCTGATGACATGAGTGTGAATGATAGCTCTCAAGTAGAAGGGACAGAGGTTGAAATCAAAGTGAGTGACGCCCAACATGCCTGCTACCTGCTAAACTTTAGTTATTAAATGACTGAAAGCTCTACGAGTTTATTTTCCTGAAAAGTCAGTAAACAATTAGACCCCGGTGGAATAGTTGGGATTTTATGACGATCTCTGCCAGGAAATTGACTAGCACAGCCTCCTTCACCTCCCAGCCAGTGAAGATGACAAACTGATTTCTCTTTGTACCCTGCTCGAGCAGATGCTTCCAGCAGCTGGGATCCCAAGATTAGTTTGTCCAGAATATGAAAGCACATCATCTGACCAAACTATTAGGCCGCCCCAGATTTTGTGGCTTCAGTAATTACACTATTCTCTACAGTGATGCGGTTTAATTCCAGCATTACGACACTGGGGATTTTGGAGCCAAATCTGGCCATTCCTAGTCAAATAAATTGTTTAAAAGCTGATCTTATCATACTTTAAATTCTGATTCCGTTCTAGCAGGGCATGCAACTGGCAAAACTGTTCTTATTATTGGAAATATCCTAAACTATCATTTCAAATTGAATCATATTTCAGCATTCAAATTACCCAGCTGATTTCTGCTTCAAGTTATATCCATAAATTGATGTTTACTCTAGGACCAAGAAGCTTCAGTGTGCTGCTCCTGAGAAGGGGGTCTGCAGAAAACAGTGTTGCACACTGTACATACCAAATAATATAAGTGTGCGAGTTTTCACCATGGAGGAAATAACTAAGGTTTCAGAGAATGTGTATTGTAGCCTGAATTAAGCTTTAGGCAATGCATTCATGCGTCAGCACATTGCAAGGCCTTGCATTTGTATGTGGAAAAGTTGTTCATATATAGCTAGCAAATACAAAGTTTAAAATGAATCATAAACCTGATTTCATAAACAAGCAAATGCTAATCTTTTCTAAGCGAGAGTACATTTTCTTTTCTGTATTAAGATAAATGTACTTACGCTCACATAAAGAAAACAACTGTCGTATTTAATTTATAGTCGAATTCATAGCAATATTCATATCAAACATCCCATTAATCAGGTCCATATATATAATCTGAAAATAAATTCAGGCTTCTCTGTAACTCAGTGATGCCAAATACTGTGCTTTGGATTCAGATTTCTATGTATGGCTTTCTTCTAAGCTTCTTATCAAACACCGTATTGTGATCTTGTCTGGTAATGTCTGGGACCAGTACAAATGTTTAAGATTGTCGGAATGTTGATAAATTTAAAGTGGCCTAA